GGTTTGTATCCAGCCCTGGCCTGCCAAACAATAATGATGGCTGCAACCAAAAAACAGCTGGGCGTTATTGTGGGCACATGTGGTCCCAGATACTTGGGAGTTTGGAGTCAGGAGACTCGCTTGAGCCCAGGAGTTGGAGGTTGCTGTGAGCTATGATGCTAGAGTGTGACAGCACTCTACCCAGGGGGACAGCTTGAGGCTCTGTCTCAAAAAAAAAAAAGAAAAAAGAAAAGCTTTTCCTTTCAGAATGGAAAAAGAGAAGGATGCCCACTCTCACCAGTCTTATTCAACATAGTACTAGAAGTCCTCACCAGAGAAATTAGGCAAGAGAAAGAAATAAAAAGCATCCAAATTGGAAAAGAAGTCAATTTGTCCCTGTTTATAGGTGACATGATTACATATAGAAAAAACTCAAAAGAGTCCACCAAAAACTTCTTAGAACTGATAAACCTGATAAACAAGTTTAGTAAATTTGTGGTATATAAAAATCAATAGTATTTCTATATACCTATAATGAATAGCTGAAAAAGAAATCAAGAAGACAATCCTATTTATTTATTTATTTATTTGAGACAGAGTCTCACTATGTCACCCTCAGTAGAGTGCTGTGATATCACAGCTCATAGTAACCTCAAACTCTTGGGCTTAAGCGATTCTCTTGCCTCAGCCTCCCAAATAGCTGGGACTACAGGCGCCCACCACAACACCTGGCTATTTTTTGGTTATAGTTGTCATTGTTGTTTGGCAGGCCCTGGCTGGATTCGAACCTGCCACCTCTGATATATGTGGCTGGCGTCCTAGCTGCTGAGCTATAGATGCCAAGCCAAGAAGACAATCCTATTTATAATAGCTACCAAAAAAGAAAAACATAAGAACAAATTTAGCTTTTAGCTAAGGAGGTGAAATACCTCTATAAGGAAACTAGAAAACACTAATGAAAGAAATTAAAGATGACAGAAACAAGTGGAAAGCCATCCCATTCTCATGGAGTGGAAGAATTAATATTGTTAAAATGACCATCATATTACTCAAAGCCATCTGCAGATTCAATGCAATCCTTATCAAAATATTAATACTATTCTTCATGGAAATAGAAAAATCTTAAAATTCATGTGAAACCATAAAAGAACCTGAATAGACAAAACAATCCTGAGTAAAAAGAACAAGACGAGAGGTATCACATTACCAGATTTCAAAAAACTAATGAAGACAGCATTAAACTGTCTGTTACTGTCATGAAAACAGACATATAGACCAATAGAACAGAGTGGAGAAATTAATCCACTATCCATATCTACAGCGGACTGATTCTTGACAAAGGTGCTACGTATGCTCACTGGGGAAAGGACAGCCTCTTTAACAAATGATGCTGGGAAAACTGGATGTCCTCATGCATAAAAATGAAACCAGACCCCTACATCTCACCCTCTATAAAAATCAACTCAAAATGGATCAAAGTCATAAATGTAAGACCCCAAACTTTAAAACTACTGGAAGAAAATATAGGGGAAATGCTTTAGGACATTGGTCTAGGAAAAGATTTTATGAATAAGACTGCAAAGGCAGGGCCGGGGCAGTGGCTCACACCTATAATCCCAGCACTCTGTGAGGCCAAGGTGGACAGATTATCTGAGCTCATGAGTTTGAGACCAGCCTGAGCGAGAACAAGACTCCATCTCTAAAAGTAGCCAGGCACTATGGCGGGCACCTGTAGTCCCAGCTTGGGAGGCTGAGACAAGAGAATCACTTGAGCACAAGAGTTAGAGGTTGCTGTGAGCTATGATGCAACAGCACTCAACCAAAGGTGACAAAGTGAGACTCTGTCTCAAAAAAAAAAAAAAAAGACTTTAAAGGCATAAGCAACAAGAGCAAAAATAAACAAATGGTATTATATGAAACTAAAGCTTCTGTACAGCAAAGGAAACAATCAATACAATGAAAAGACAACCTACAGGTTGGGAGAAATATTTTCAAGTTATTCATCAGATAGGAGACTAATATCTAGAATATACAATAAACTCAAACATCTCAACAGCAAAAAATAATCTGATTTAAAAATCTACACATGATCTGAACAGACATTTCTCAAAAGAAGACATGTAAGTAGCTCAAAATTTATGGGAAAATGCTCGACATTACTAATCATCAGGGCAATGAAAATCAAAACCACAATGAGGATGTATCACTTCATCTCAGGATGGTGATTAAGACAAAAAATAACAAACGTACTCTCAGTGAACCTGAAACAACTAACTCACTCACTAACTAAATAATAAAATACTAATAAATGTTAGTGAGGATCTGGAGAAAGGAGAATCCGTATACACTGCTGGTGAGAATGTAAACTAGTATAGTCACTATGGTGAACATTATAGAAGTCTTTCAAAAAGCTACACACAGAATTACTATGTAAATCAGAAATCTCACTATTGGGCATTTATCCAAAGGACAGGAAGTCAGTATATATTAAGGAGACATCTACACCCATGTTTACTGCAGCACTAGTCATAACAGCCAAGACATGGAATCAACCTAGGCATCCAACAACAGAATAAAGAAAAGGTGATACACACACACACACACACACACACACACACACAATGGAATACTAGTCAGCCATAAAAAGAATGCAATGCTATCATTTGTGGCAACATGGATGGAACTGGAGGATATTATGTTAAGTAAAATAAACCCAGAGTAGAAAGTTAAACAGCACATGTTTTCACTCACATGTGGACTTTTTAATCAGCTAATCTTATCAAAGTATAAAAGGAGAACAGAGGATACTAGTGACTGGGAATCGTAGGGGGAATGGAGGGCTAGGGGGAAATTGGTAAAGGATACAAGATCAGTCAGATAGCAGCCATGAGCTCTAGCATTTTACACCACAGTAGGATAACCACAGTTAACAATATGTTATATAGTTTCAAATGGATGAAAGGAGGATAGTGAATGTTCCCAACATAAAGAAATGTGACTGTTTCAGATGATGGATATGCTAATTACCCTGGTCTGATCACCATACATTACGTGTATTGAAACATCACTGTGTACCCCATAAATATATCAAATTAGTAAATATCAATTAAAAATAACATTTAAGAGTTTTTTCATTTGCAAGAAATATTCCAACCACAAAATTTTAGAAAAAGAGTTGATGTGAAAAATATAAAGGAATTCATACCTTGGATATAGGGGCTATAAGGGTTTTCAATTTCAAAACTAGGATCCAAAACTTTAAAAACAACCTGTAAAACAAATGTAGGTAATTTATAGTAAATTGCCCCAAAACATAATTGTCAAATACGGTCTTAAAGAAGAGACCCTGACCTTATAAAAAGGTTGAGCCATTGCTTCCCAGTTGGTATAGGGTACAGATTATCATTTGGGTTACCATATTAGTTAAAGTACTGAGGACAAAAATGAGTATATGTTATTAATTGGGGTAGAAGGTGGGGAGTGGATGGGGAGAAATTACTTAATGGGTACAATGTATATTATTTGGGCGATGGATACTTAAAAGCCCTGACCTCATCACTGTGCAATCTATGCATGAAAACAAAATTTCACTTGTACTTCATACATTTATACAAATAAAAGTTATTAATCATGGCTGGCTCTTTATCCACAAGTGGTTGATAGACAGAAATGGTGAA